TTGATTTTTATTTTCCAAAAAGGCTCCATATCAGTGCCTTGGGGAAACCCACAGCCAACCAACAAAAGGCAAACCTGCTCACCAGAAAGTATGGTTCCTGTTTGTGCTGGTTTGGCCACTTCTGGTGAAGGGCACAAGAGGCTGAGGGCAAAGCACTTGATGATGAACAGACTTGAAGGGGAGAGAGGGACCAACACCATGTCAATGGCAATGTTCCATTCATACATTTGCTTGTCACTGATGTGTGTCCGAGAGGACTGAGAAGCTAAGTAGAAAGGCCACTGTAATTCGGCCTTCTTGGGTCAAGTTGGACAAATAGGCAAATGGTGTGATCAGCACTATTTCCAAAAACTACATTATTCCTAGAAGGGGTTGTTAACCCCACAAAAATCAAAGTTTTATTTTTTTACCCCTGGCTCCTATCTAGTTTTCTTTTCTTTCTCCTTTTTCTTTCTTTCTTTCTCTTTCTTTTTCTTTCTTTCTTTCAAGATTTTATTTATTTATTTGACAGAGAGAGAGAGCGAGAGAGGGAACACAGGGGGAGTGGGAGAGGGAGAAGCAGGCTTCCCGCTGAGGGGCTCAATCCCAGGGTCCTGGGATCATGACCTGAGCAGAAGGCAGACACTTAACCATCTGAGCCACCCAGGCACCCCCTATCTAGTTTTCTTAAGTAGGCCGTTGAATAAAGGATGTGCTCAGGTATAATCCCATCCAATACATCTCCTAACCCCACCTCTAAATAGTCAACATCACACTCAGAATGTTGAACTGCCTAGTAATTTCAGTCACCTGCTAAAATAGCTCTTTTGACACCAGACTCTAATAACTCAACTAGAAACTTCAGGAAAATTAACTGCAAATTACTAACTCTTGATCAACAGTTTGCATAGATATCCAGAGCCAAAATAAACCTAAACTCGCAGATGTTCAAATACGTACTGGCAATTCTTTCCCCCGATGGAAAGAGACACAGGCACAGCACTTGCAACCTTTAGTCAGATGCTTATTAGGTGGTTAAGCCTCAGCTACAAAATAGATACTAATTTTGATTACTAATTTTGGTACTGGCTGAACTAATTATGTCCTGTTACTGCAGTGACAGGTCTCAAGATCTATCGCGGGGATAGGAAAACAAGAGTAAAGTGTCAAGATCTCTCTGCATGATGAAATGTGGCCAGTGCATTACATGCATCCAAGTCCATGAGCCTAAGGCCTAAGGAGACCCTACTAAATCCTAAGAAGGGAACAACTGACATGCTCAAGCCTCCGGTGACAAGTCAAAGGCACCATTTTTTTTTTTTCTTCTTCTCCTTCTCAGTTTCTCCGCTTCTCTGGGCATAAAAAGGGAAGGGAAGAAGAACTTCCCTCTGAAGTCTTGGTGATTTCTTGTTAAATACATATATAAATATAAGCATGTTGAAAGCACATTCTTAATAAAATTATTAATAACTTAGGGTCAGGATGGGAGGAGTCATCTAGTGTGGGATCACAGGGTTTTGATTTTTAGTATGTTCCCTATTTTTATGACTAGATACTGGTGTGCAGAGCAGCCCTTTGTGACTGGCTCTGGTTGTGTAATATGGGCTTTGACATTTCCCTGGTTGCCCCAGGTACCTGCCATCTAAGGTACCCAAGCTCGAGGTACCCTTAATGTTGCACACATGACTCCCCTGAAAGCTAAGAATTTCTCTAAAACAAAACTAAAAAATACAAGACCCAGGTGTATGTGCACACACACACACAAACACAAACACACACACGCACACAAATCACCAGACTTTCTAAGTTGTCGCTATGCATGAGTAACACGAAACAGTGCCAGAAGTTGGAAGTGGGGTTCCCTACTGTGACAGAAACTAGAAAGAACAAGCACCCAATAAATAAGAAAAAAAGCCACTAGTGGGAACCCATCCTCACAGAAAAGCATAAATGCTATTGAAGACACATGAGGATACCCAAGGTTAATGAAGGTGCTCTAAAAAAGGTGATTTAAGTCAAAGATCACCTTTGTACATAAACAGGATGGTCTGCTAGACCCTGGAAAGGTGACTTCAGGGAGCAAAGCAGGAGCCTGGTAGAAATACCACTTATGTATGTTATGGGAATAGCAATCTGATTATGGGGCATATCAGATCAGTATTATCCCCTGCCCCCTGCCAAGGCTCTTAGCTCCATGTCCATCTCACAGGACAATGCCTAATGACTAATTTGGCTTCCTCCAAAATCCTGATAATGAAAGAGAGATAGCCTAGGGAATAAAATTGGTTTTCATAAAGATACTTTTTTATCTTTCACAATAAATTATAAAATTGGACATCTGAATTCCACATTGTCATGAGTCTAGTTCCTGGGAGTCTGTCCTGGGTGCACAGATAAACTTGAGGACCTAATCTGCAGAGCTCGGATGATTGCCCTTGGGGGCCCTAGGTCTGGCAGTACCCTTAAATCTAACTTTGACATTTCAGAGCCCATACACCACCATCAAAGGAAAGGAGGATGTTGATACAAAGAACCATTGTGTTGGAAGCAAGATTCCAGAGTGTCAAGGCCACAAAACCCATAGTCCCCCACATTCAATGCAGTACCAAGAGCATTTGCTTCTCCCTTCCCAACCTCCCTCAAGCCCAAATCTATTTGCCTCTTGGCCCCTCTTCTTTTCCACCACCATGACCCTGTTCAGGGCATCATCTTCAATCACCTGGATGATCGTAACAGCTGTCCCCGACCGGCCTCCAATGTGGACCCTCCATTATCCACCTACACACCAACCAAGCATGGTACCTGCTTACCCTAGCAAGTTCAGCGAGCCCCCACCCCTACTCATTACATCCGCATAATGGCATGCATGCTTCCTATGAGGCTCTAAGCTCAGGAATCAGCCCTGTGGGAAGCTGGCAGGGCACAACCTCTGAGCTTGATTAGCTCCAAGGGCTAGTATAAGAAGTAAACCAGTTACTGTATACTAAGATATGGTACTATACAGATACTAAGCAATGGTATCAACCTGGCTGACTGGGCCCTTGCTTGTGTGTGCAGCTTTGTCTGTATCACTTACCATCATGCCCACCCCTTGGTTCTTGCTCTAGTCACATAAAGTGACTTGGGGTCACCCCAGCGCACTGTGCTTCCTCATGCCACCAAGTTAACACACATGCTGGGTCTCTGCCTGGACTCCCCTTCCTCCTGCTATCCCCAACTAATTCTAGCACTTAAGCTTGAAGTTTCAAATTAGGTATCACTTTTTCCAAGATGCCTTCCCTGAACACTGCCTTCCTCACCCCACTGGAATGGTGTTTCTCTTCCCCTCCCCCACACATAGCACCAGGAGCACCTATACTAGTCCCTATGACCCACTCTGTAATTGCCAATTTTCCTAACTGCCAACTCCACTGATGGGGCCCCAAACTCCCCAGTGAGAAAGGGGTGTGGAAGCAACCAAATAGAGGTTCTGGCTTCTGCAGCCATACACCTTTGCTGCAGGGGTGCTGGTTCTCCCTTGGCCCTTATTAGAGCCTCACAAACTTCTAAGTTCAAAGCGCAGGGGCAGCTCAGCTCCTCCCTCTCTTAACCCACTGATTCGGGATCAAAAGTTCAAAATTCAGGCAAATCAGAGCTAACATTTTCTGTTTTTGGTTTATTGTTTGGCCTCTTTGAGCCTCAAATGAATAAAATAATACCCTCTGTGGATTTATAAAGCTTTGCAGTGATAGTTTGTAACCCACAGAACACCAGACAATTATTAGAGGATTATTGTTGGTGCCAGATCTGGTCCTATAGCAAGAAGAGGGGACAGGAAAGGATGTCAGCCTGAGGGATGGGTGACTCCTGGATTGGGTCCATCACCAGAAAACCTTTTTTCCTAATTCTGCTGCCTCGTGTCCTACACACAGCACGGAGGTCTTCCTGAGGCTCTGTGCTATGTCTTGGCCACTGTTCCCGAGTTTTCCACAGAGACAAGGCTCTGGCACATCCTCACAAGTGGGAAGTGGAGACATCTCAGGGCTTTTAGGGCTGGCACATGAGAATACTCAGAGGTTCCTCAAAACTGGATTACCTGTGCTACATCCAGGCAGGCTTGCTGAGTCAGAATAAGCATTTTAATGACTGAAACTGATCAGTGCATATCATCCCACACCAGGCAGGAGCTGCCGCCAGTACAAAGCGTCCTCTTCATTCCAGCCCCTTCCCTGAGCCCTCGTCAGGAGCTTCCAGGCATTAGAAGCAGAAACTCAGAACATAGGTGAAGCCTGCCACCTACAGTTAAAGGGTCCACGTATATTAGCTCCTGTATCCACCTGCCCTTACTTCAGGCCCAAATTACCCTTGGAGGGAAATGTTAAATCTCCTTCTTTCTCCCCTGGATTTAGACAAGGAAAATTGAGGAAACTGACTTAAATTGCTCTTCAAGCCAGTCTGTGGTTCTTCAAATTAAAAGCTGAGTATGGAATCAGAGTAAACTGCATTCAACAATGTGCAGCAAATGTTCATGGAGCACCTGGGCTGCACACCCTTGTGATAAATGCAGTAATTCCAGAGGTGCCATGTGCAAGAGAACTATGAGTCCAATTTCTGGGTTTCTTTCTGTTCACGCTGAGGATCAATTTTTCTCTCATGGTGAAATTAATTCACTTCTCCTAAGTGCCCTCTGTACTACCTTCTGGAGGATAGAGTAGCCTCTGCAATTAAACCAGCAATTACTGCTATAGGAGCAGGCTCCGATCCTGCTTCACAACCCTCCTAGGCAGGAACATGTATGACATCCACACCTCAGCTAAGGAAGAGTGCACTGCACGTGGAGTTCAATGCTTGGTGGCCCTTTGTTAACAAAAATGTGTAGCTTTTGGTAAAGTCCACCATGGAGAACACAAACCATGGGTAGAGCACACAGCAAGAAGTATTTCCCAAGCTGGGGAATTTAAGAACACATGAGCAGAGTTTACACAGCAAAATTCTCATGAAAAGCAATCATGATTACTAAACAGTTACCAAAACAGTGCAGCAGGGCTCTTGAGATTGCTTTATAAACCCAAAGTTAAGGTTAAAGAAATTGCTGTAGCAGTGGCATTAATGTAAAAATATTTTCTCCTGCTGAAGAATATCTTTAGTTCTCAACATAGAAAATCATTACACATGTATTCAGTTTAAAATGAAAACCAAATTTACAAATCATTTCTGGATACTTAAAAATAAACTCTAGGTTGCTTTTCTTTTGGCATCACCAGCCTAAACTCTGTGGCTTTGCGGTATTTCAGAAACTTCAGGTACCTTACAGTCTTCTAAGAAAGGCCCAGTACTTCAGAATTCCTGCAGTGGCTGTGGAGAAAGAACATTACTGGCAACAAAAATTAAAACAACATTTCAAGACCTACAGGAATACAGATGTTCATAAATGTACACACATTTCAGCATTTTAGCTGATATCCTACATACTTTTTCTGTGAGTATATTCACATTTCTTTTTGGTTCAAGGAAAAAAATGTACTTTATAGACAAATTGTTTCAGCTGTAGGTAGAAAATTCCATGGCCATGCTTCCCTTTCCTGGTGTATATCTGGGGCCTGTGTGGGTGTGTAGAGTTTTCGCTGGTCCCCAAAGCAGCTCACCTGTGACATTACCCTTTATATGCACAGGAAAGCTGCTCTTCTTAGTCAGGGGCTCTGTTGGTGGTGGAATTTGGAGAAACTAGGCTGCAATATCTTTATAGGGAGAGGCCAAGTATACTTTTTCATTCTTGTGGCTTTGTGTGCTTAAACAATTTGAGCTGGTGTAAAAGACTGGACCACGAAATTGCTCACAGAATTCCAGGATCCTGCTGCCCCACAATGCAAACTGCAGACGCTCTCCAGGCCTGCTGGGCTTGGCCTAAATGTGGAATTTTACCCACCAGAAAGCATTACTGGAGCTCAAGTCAGAAATTTTAAATAGCTCAATGATACTGATGCCTTTGCCCTCTGGCTTCAAAAGCAATCACGACCAAACATTTTCAACTATGAGCTGATTACAATAACAAAAATACCTTTTCAAAAAACATTTAATGAGGTAGCTGAGATCACATATCAAATCCACAGCATACACGAAGGTGCTTAATAAGTGCACAGGCATTTTAAAATGTATTTTTAAATGCAAACTTGCTACAGTGCCTAATAAATGGTCTTTCTTCCCAATTCCTGAAGATGCATGCAGATGTTGCAAAGAGACCCTTGCAGAGTTGTAACGGCAAGAGAACAAGAGGTTGAGAGTAAGTGAAGCTGGACAGGAGGAGAAAGGAAGGGGCTCTGGGCATATAGCTTGGGCTGAGGGGGTTGTACTCCCCATGGAACTGAAATAGAGTCACTGCCACTGAGAACACACACCAAGAACTCAGGGACATGATAGGCTGAGAAGAGGGTCTTGACTTGAGGTGGTAGGAACCACAGCCTGGGGCACTTTCATTAAGATCGAGGCAATGCTCAGAGCACACCCCCACACACCTTTGAGGGCCCCGGGGAACCACCCTTAGGAGGGAGTCTGGCCTCCTGCTGCCCTCACCATGACCACTCTGGGTTCTGTCTGCTCCCAGCCATGGGCTGCTTTATCCTGAGCAGCTTTTAAGATGTTAACTTCAAATGATTTCCATGTGGAGTCTTGGACAAAAGGAAAGGTGGTGATACCAAGCCTGGAAGCATGGATTTTGTGACTGTTCCAGCAATATGAACATTTAGAGTTCACACATCCACACGCATGGGCACACACGCACACTCGCCTGCACACAGGCGCACGCATGAGTCAGTGTGGGGCAGCCAAGCAGACTCCCCAAGCTCAGGCAGGGCAGGAGTGGGCAGGATGAAGGGGCCTGGGGCAGGGCTGGTGGATTCATGGAGAAGGAGCCTGGATCCACCTTTGCCACCCTCCCTTTCCTGTCCTCCACGGGGGCAGCCAGCACACCAGGGCACCTGGCAGAAATACACTGAAGACAAGGGATGGACAGGCAGGCACCAGATCACTCAGTTATTAGGTCTCCGTCGTATAGTTGCTGTAGGCCAAAGGAGGCAGGGTCTGAAAGTTGCTCCACCGCCTTGTACCAGGCTGGGACTCCACACGCCCTTGCTCTTTATATTTACCCAGAATGTTTTTGGCTTCTTCCGCATCCCGCAAAGGGCTCTCTCCATATTCTTCCTTCAGCCACTGCCGGTACTGGAGAAGTTGAAAACAAAACCAAAATGTCACACACACATCTGCATCTACATAGATTTCACCTGTTACTTAATGTTACAGATTTTGCCACATATAACCAAGGAATAAATGGGCATTGGGCAATCATAGATCTGTGGTTGGCCAGCCAGTGTCCCGCAAGAGAAATAACTGTTTCTTCCAGGTTTTAGCCTGAGGACATGAAAGCAAGCCAAACTAAGAAAATGGCACTTGGCCTAAAGGGAAATAAACAGACGTTAATATGGGGTCTGAAGATGGTAAAAGATAATGTCCTACAGCTGCAGCTGGTGAACAAGGGACCAGTGATGACTTTGATTGGGATGCAAGTGGGGCATTCTTGTCCTCTGTGGGCCTTTCAAACTCCAACCTCCCTGATTCTAGGTGTGCACAGAAAGACTGAGGCATCTTCCCAGAGGCTGCTGCTCACATCACCAAAGTCCCCTGAGCATGGTTACCTGGTGGACTTCATGCTTCTCAAACTCCTGGAGCTGTCTCTGGAAGCCCAGGTTGGGGTTGGCACAGGACCTCCCTGCACGTACAGTGTGCAGGGCATCCTCCCAGCCAAAGTCGGTGACGGTCATGATGTATGCGATCACCAGAGTCACACTCCTGGAGACGCCGGCCAGGCTGCAAGGGCCAAAAGAACCCACAGGGGCAAGGGTTTTCAGTCCATGAGTCTATCTCCTGATTCATCGAGAGCAGGGGATTCTGTGGATCTCATTTTAGAGTCTCCTGCCTTGGATTATGAGTGGACAGCAAGCCAGTATGAAATTACTCAGAAACATAGGAGCTTCTCTCTACTTTGTTACACTAGAATCTCAGGTATCAGTATATGTGTGAGCCTCATTTTTTTTTTTTTTTTTTTTTACAGATTTTTCTACTGGCTATGGCTTTGGACGCCAGTTTTATGATTCTCTATGCTCCTGAGCCCTTCTTCAGATAGTCCCCATTTCCTCGGACAGGAAAAATAACTAACTAAAGCACATCAAGGGAACTTGAAGGGTCTGGGATCCATGCAATAAATCTATTTACAACCCGCAGCAGTTTAGAAGGCTTCATGGTTTTTTGTTTTGTTTTTTTAAGTCTGGTTTTCTTAGATAAATGAAGGCTAGATCTATAACTGAAAGCCCATTAAATACAGAAGCTCTTATGAAACAGTTTGTGTTCTTGAAATAACTGAGCAGAGCACAAAAAAGGGCACATTCCACGTGCTCTGGGATGTGGGGGTCAATAACGGTTAATTATATGTAGCAGGCTGAGTAAGGGGACCAATTTTAAATGCATATGCAAATTAAGGTGTCACAGAAGGCTGTGCTGCGTCAGATTTAGAGTGTTCTAGCAACGGTTTAAGATGGGGAAGTTTAGCAAATTTCTCATTTTTAGAAAGGCCTATCTTCAGATTTATATAACCGTATAGAAATACAAATTTGTATAGAAATACAAATTCCTAGAGTATCAGGGCTACACATATTCAAATGATGATGATGATAATAATAATAATAATAATAATAATAAAAGACAACCATTCTCAAGTAGTGGCTCTTCCTTAGGCTTTTATAGCAGAAATACTGAGAGAGCTTTTAAAAAATACATCCTCTTTGGCTGCAAACCTGGAGATTCTAATTCACCAGAAGCCATAGAGGCCCAGGCACAGGATTACAGAACTCCCCGTATATGGCTCCAACTGCACCCCCCAAGATTCTTTAAAGCAAATGTAGATGAACATTATAAAATCTACAATTTGGTACATGTCCTACTCTTTTTAAAAGTAAAAAAAAACCGTAAATCACATAATTTCAAGAACTGCATAAAGCAACCAAACATCATTTTTTTCTAAAGCAATCAAACTACTGTCCCTGCTTTCCTGATATGGGTTACAGGCCCTTAGAACAGATTAGTTTTCATGAATGGCTCTTCTGGGTATCCTGCCCTGGATCTCCTCTGTCACCAACATTAGCAGCAACACAGCTCAGGAGACATCACTTTACATTTCCAAAGAGCTTTCACTGAAATAGCAACTTCTTTGGGGAAACTCAAAAGACTGTTAAGTTTTGGGTTTTTTTTTAATATATGTCACAACATAATATTGTCTTTTTAAAAAAATCTGAGTAGAGTTGACATATAATGTTACATTAATTTCAGGTGTACAACATAGTGATACTACAAGTTTTACATTGGGCTGTGCTCACCATAAGTGTAGCTGCTGTCTGTCACCGTACAACACAATTATACCATTGACTGTATTCCCTGTGCTGTGCCTTTTATTCCCATGACTTTTTCATTCCATAACTGGAAGCCTACCTCTCCCACTACCCTTCATCCATTCTGCTCATTCTCTCACTCCCTCCCCTCTGGCATCCATCAGTTTGTCCTCTGTACTTATAGGTCTGGTTCTGCCTTTTGGTTTTTTGTTTTTTTTCATGTGTTTTGTTTTTCAGGTTCCATATAGAAGTGAAATCATATGGTATTTGCTTTCTCTGATGTATTTCACTTAGCATAATACCCTTTGATCTCTCCATGTTGCTGTAAATGGCAAGATCTTATCTTTTTTTTTTTTTGTGGCTGAGTAATACTCAATATGGAGTCTTATTCAATATAGAGAGGGAACATGCTCGGCTTGCACTTTAATGAACAGCAGAGTTCTGGCTCCAGAATGTTGGCTGCTGGTTCCTTTAACATATTAGTTATGTGATGAGTATGAGTACCAGTGGTAATGAGTATTTCATAATGTATATAATTGTCAAATCACTATACTGTACACCTGAAACTAATGCCAACTATATTTCACTTAAAAACAAATAAAAATTTTAAAAAATAAAATATGAGAGCTAACATTCCCCGAGAGCTTACCATGTGCCAGGTACAGTGCTAAGAACTTTATGTGCATTGTCCTTGGGTTATGTGTATTATAACAGCTTTTTTTTTGCAGTGTGTACTTATGTATATGTATTCATATCCATATGAAGTATAGCTGAACGCAGGTGGAGAGCTGTATATAAACTGTTTAATTCTAAGATCCTATTCAGATCTTTTCAAAGCAAAGTACTAAGCTAAACACACACAAAAGCCCCCATCTGCAAATGGAGAAGAAATGGTCATTCTGGTGTTACACTAATGCAATGCTAAACACCACATATGTGATCAAAACTCTCCAGAAAGAAACAGTGTTTTGAAAGGGCACTGAGGTTTCAGGGATGAGCCCACAAAATCTGTACCCTCCACAGGAGGCTATTCCAAGGCAATAATAGACATGGGCTAGAAAAGAGGCTCCTGTGGTTCCGTAGCCTTGACAGTCCCTACAGAAATCCTAACTGTGAAAATGAAAATCCTAAGTGAAAATGAAAAAAAAAAAAATCATAGGGTTCTCTTTCATCAAAAACAAACGATGACTAACAAATGGCAGGGGTCAGATGGGGTGTGTATTCAAGATTCAGAGGGCAGACAGAACTATTAGGAGTTGAAATAATCACACACAGAAAAACCCTTGAGAGAAATCAGGCTGAGTAGAAATACTAAGCTATGATTCGGCAGAGGCATACATACCAGTGTACAAGACAGCCCTCACCCCTGAGTCGGCACTCGTGAATGAATTTAATACTTTCTTTGAAATGTCTTGTCCTGTGGGGGGAGAAAAAAGAGAGAAGTGATATCTCTCTACTTTACTCAACACATGATGAAAAGAAAAATCCGCTTGAGGTTTCTTGAAAAGGTCTCAGAGTCCCACAGCTTCAAAACCCTGGTCACACTGTCTGAGGCTGGAGCTGGCTCAGCTTTAGAATCTGTCATACACAATGCTGAGGCCTGGGGAGGGCTGCCCATCTTCTGGGATTTTCAGAATTTCTCTGCAAGGAATCCCTGAAACACAGCATTGCCATTGACGGGTATGTGTGTGGGGGGGGTGGTTTTTGCCTAGCCCAGGGGTCGTGTGGGGCCCCTGAATATTCAGGAGCATACTAGTGACCCCACACTGACAATCCACACACCATCTGTGCACATTCAGAGCCATTCAGGTGAAGAAGGTGCCCATATCATGCAGGCTCCCTAGTGCTAAGAGGTAGTTTACTTTTGATGATCTGAAAAACCTAATAATACTTTCCCATATTGGTCTCCCTTGACTTTGGTACATCCTGTCGGCATGTCATCAAGAGGGCTGTGGGGAAAGGGAAAATACAGCTTCAATCCCTGCTCAGCCACTTACTGGCTGTGTGACTTTGGGAGAGCCACTTAGTTTCCCTTAACTTCATTTATAAAGTGGAAATAATGTCTTATGGGGTGGAATGAGGTGATATATACCAATATGCTTTGCAAACTCTAAAATCCTTTATGACAATGAAACCATGATCCTTACTTCTTCTGACCATTAGCCTTTTTAACACCCTTTCTCCTGCACGTATGTACCAGCATCATTTAGAGCATGTTCTGGACTGGCTGGTGGGTTAACTATAAATACTCCAAGACGACCTACAGAGTACATGCTTTTTGAGGTCTTTTACCTTTGATTGACTTACAGAGCAGCAAAACATCTAAAGTTGCCCATGGAATCAATTCATCCTCTTTAAAACACCAACTGAGTACTATTTACTGGAACTCTGCAAAGCTGCAGGAGATTCAAGGAAGAATGAGATGTAGTTTCCAACCACACAAGCTAGGTCTATCGTTTCATGAAGGATGACAGGATAAATGAATGTAATGATGAGAAATTCAGGTATGGCATAACAAACTCAGCCAGGTATTAAATACAGAAGAAACTCAGCAACCTAAGTATAGGTGCCCAGCTAGATTAAGATGGAGAGACAATACAGAAACTACATGTGCATGCATACACGTACATATTCCATGACCAACCATAAGGCGTGATGAAAAGTCCTAGGGATTGAACCCAAGGACTCCAGACTCCTACGTAAAATCTGTAACTACCAGAACATTGCAAGAAATGCTTTTGCTAACTTTCCCAGACACAAATGCTCCCAGACATAAACTTATAAAATGACTCTGGGCATTGAAACTATACTCACAAACACTGGCTTTGTATAAAGCAGGCAAGATAAGATTCCCGCTATAATTCCTGAAATCTGAAGTATCAGTACTGGAAAGAAATCTCAGAAAGGATTGTAAGGCAGAAGCCCATGGAAGCCAGGCAGTGAAGCCGAGTGCACAGAGGGGTGAAGGGTTGGGGAGGGGGCACTGTGATGTGACTGGCAGAAGCCTGGCCCACCGGAGGCAGGAGAGAAGGTTCGGTGCTGTTGGAGCTTCCTCTGTCTCAAGCAAAAACAGTCTGCAGTGAAGTCTTCTGATTTTGAAGTATTGAAACTGTGGCAGGCATCTTGAGTTGTGCTGATTTTGTTGGGGCAGCAAAGTTTGTCAGAATTGCCCCCCTTCCCTCTGATTCCAGCCATGGAGAAGTAAAGAAAAGGTTGTGAGGTGGGGACTTCTGGAAAAGTTTTCCCTTCCTAATGAAAGGAAAGTCATCTATCTCTGCACCAGGTTTCCTGCTAGCATCACACTTATAGCCGCATCAGGGGCCCTGTAACCACAGGTGATAAAGCCCCTCGGTGGAGAGGCAGCAGGATGCAAAGGGAGACCTCAGGGGACTGATGCCCAGGCCTGGGAGCACCCACCACCAGGTTTCTTAGTCAAGGCTTTAAGTAAATTTCTCTGTAACTTAAAACATTATCAATCAGATACTCTGCTACTTTAGTCAAATATAATCCACCTGATAACAGCAACCAATTCAACAGTTTTAAAAACACTGAGCTAAGTGGCACCTGAGTGGCCCAGTTGGTTAAGCCTCCGACTCTTGATCTCAGCTCAGGTCTTGATCTCAGGGTCATGAGTTTAATCCCCACATTGGGCTCTACACCCCAGTGTGGAGCCTACTAAAAAAAATAATAATAATAAAATAAAAAACAAAAGAAAGCAAAAACATTGGGCCAACTCATCTGGCCTAGGAGTGGTTACAGGCTGCCTGTCTGCATCTGCTCCGTGGGGCAGCCTGTCCTCCTGTGTTGGCCGCTGCACATGGCAGACATGCCAGAGGGTAGGGTGGGTCTGACTATAGATCCCAAGACCAGGACAGGCTGCCCAGAACTCAGAGCTCATCCCTGACTGCAGTCTAGCAGTGGCTAGAGGGTACACATGTTTGTCCACTAGGTCAGCCACGCTGGGGCATCCAAAGGTTCGGAGAGTCCTCTCCACGCCTGCAGCCCATGCTCATGCCTGTCCTTTATGGGTCTCTTTCTAGTCGAGCACAGCTGCATCTGTGACAAGACAGGCAGGGAAGAGCACAGCAACCAGAAAAGGAAAAACAAATCTAAAAATGAATGACAATTGCCTGAGTAGTGAACAAACCACAGACTGCTCCAGAACACACTGCAAAGGCCCAAGTGACATGAGAGTTAACAGTGCCCCTCTGAGTGGGCAGGACTTAATGTTTTAGGGGAACATGGTCAGTGCTGTGGAGCTCACCAGGATTTTGCAAAATGACAACAAATGAATGCCTTTGCTGAAACGGGCAAGTGGGAACAACTCCTTTGATCTGGCTTTTATACCTACATGCACCAAACCACATGCACAATGAAACCTGGGGCTCAAACACTGTCCGGTGTGTCTGGGTTCAAAAGTCAGTCCTGCCTGTCCTCAGAATAAGAGAGTGGGGTGGGAGTGGGGTCGGCAGGGGAACACGCGGACCTGCCAGAGCCCAGAGGGAGTGTATGAAAGAGCTAAGGGGCCAAGGAAGTCATGAGGAGGTGCCCCCACTTTGCTCCCAGCCAGCCCTTTCCTCTTTCAGCTCTAACTGTGCCAACCTTAAGTCTAGGACAAACCCACAGATGGCTCCTGTCCACCACCATGTTGGGGCAAGGAGTGTGGAACCCCAGGGCAGGCATCTGTGTGGGGACAGCTCACAGCCCAGCCCAGGAGTGTAAATGATGCCACTGAAGGGATGGCTCAAAGCCCCACCACAAAACCTGACTCATAAACACAGTTGGGCACGAGGCCACACCAAGTAGACATTCCTAGAAATGCTTTTTCCAAGTAAAGCCAGGAGGCAGGCGCATTTACTACTGCTTTGGTGTGTTGCAGGGAGTGTGGGTTATTTCCAGGGAAGCTGATGACATAAACTCTAGCGCTGGTCATTAAACTCCCTCCTCCACAGCAGGAAATACCCGAGACTCTGGCTCCTGTTGCCCAATTCTCTGATGTGAAGCAGAAGCAAGCATCTAAGCACCATCCCACCACAGGCTGTTTCAATGAACACAGGTTCCCTATTCTTGCTCTTCATTTTGTACCTTCACTTCCATACAAAGACATGTGAGTAAGTTCTGTTGGAGGAAAGCCAGAGGGGCTCATCCACCTACGTGCATCACAAACTTACCTCATAGTGCTTGCTGCTGCCAGCAATCTGAAGAAAACACCTTGGGGAGGGCAGAGGGGTGCTTCAGAGGAGACCCATCAAACAGCCCTGCAGCTGCCACTGTCCCCCTTCCTCAGTATGAGCTGGCCATCCTCCTTGAAGAGCCTCCTCCCCTCTCTGGCCGGAAGCCAAGAGACAGGACCAGCAAAGTTTCCCTGACCTTCGGAGAGTGCACAGAAAGGATGGTGGATGGGATCTAGCAAAACTACACCACATGATGCTCATTTTTTGAGGCCGAACAACTAGTTCTTATTCCAAGACTGCAAGATTTGGAAGCTGTGATCCCCACCACGGGATCAGAGGCAACCCTCTCCTGCTGAGGACTCTGCTTATCTGAGCAGTAGCCCAAGGGATCTGGCCACTTACCTTAAGTGGTGGCTGGGCATACTCCAAAGTCAGCAGTATCAGACCAGGCTGTACTGACAGGAGACCCAGGATGCTTCTCCTTCCCATATACATATACATGTCTGTACATATGTGTATATGTGTGCACCTGTGTGCATGCATGTTGTATATGAAAGCAAAGGAGGAAAAAAAAACAGGAAAGGCAAGCACTCTTAGATATTCCTCCTAAAAAAGGAATGCTTAAAGAAAAAAAAAAAGCAAAAAGGCAAAAAGCAAGCGGGTGGAACGTCCTATCTGGGCTCTGGAAGGTGGGCTCAGATCAGAAAGCTGTTTCTCCTGGGGCAGAATCGGCAGGGGCTCCCAGGCTGTGTGTTGGCCCCCTCAGCTGGAGCACTGTGAAGCTCTCGCCTCAGCCAGAAGCAAGCAGGAAGGAACATTCTCCGGCAGGACAGACACTGGCAGAGCTGGTCTATCAGTACCGGGCACTGAACACATACAGCTACTCATACTTATATCAAGGATTTCCCACATTTTGTATTTCCTGCACTTAAACATTTTTTTTAATGGGGAGAATTAAAACACACACGTGGTGTGTATTGTGCTTTTCATTTTGCCACATAAGGTCATTTTAAAAACAAAACCTTTTTTACCACCTACTATAACATCATTTCACAAAGAATAGTTGAGAGGAGGACACAGTTTAAGACTAAAAGATAGTTAAGTTCAGTAAGTGAAGTCTTATGAAAAACCCAATATTCCTTTTCTGACTATTTCTCATTTCTACGGCCTGCAGAGTCGTCAGGAGTCATGTGAGAGCATGTGTGCATGTGCACCTGAGTGCTCAAGTAAGTATGCATCTGTCTGGAAATAGGACCACAGCACTCCAAGGGCCCACATCATTTTGATCTTGCAAAACTGCTTTTTAATAATTAAAGAAAATTGTTAAGTGAGAGAAAGAGGAGAGCTGGATGTACAGAAGACATCAGCTAAACTAAAGAAAACATACACAAACAGATACGGAGGTAGAATAAGGCAAGGAAATTTTACTGATACTTTAAATATAAGCTCACAGTATTGCTAATACCTCTTCTCCCCACAAAAACCTCAAGAAATTGAGAGACCGGCTCGATACTCAAACCACTGAATGTCACAAAGGCTCTATTGTAATGATGCAATGCTACCAACTCCACAGCACAGATCAAACTCTCCTGGACTTGACAGAAGAAGATAAAAAAAAAAAAAAAAGTAATTATTCCCTTAACAATGTCTAAATACAAAATACCAATTTAACAAATAGTAAAATAAGAATGAATAAATGAGCTACTATACATCCAGTAATTCACTCTCAAAATACATTAATACTCCTTACTTGGATAGACAGCAAATATAATCTTATTTTTTGGAAATGCTTAGAGTTCATAAAAAACACTTTCACTTATCTAACCCAATACTACAAAAATTGTGTGAGATAGGTATTTTACAGATGAGAGAAATGAGGTTAAAATGACTTGCGTATGAAAGTACAGAAAGAAAGCAAAAGCAAGTATTTCCAAAAGCCTGAATTCACTAGCTCGCTCTATATCGGCCAAAGAACATGGAGCATGTGCATTTGATATAAACTCTAGGATGCCTCTAATTGTGACAATTCATGCAAAACACAACAGCCTGGGTCTGTGGGGTTATTATGACTACAAGAACTTGAACTTTCACATTTCCTGACTTTGAAAGGCAAGGTGGTTGGGGAACCGAAGTAAAATTTTAATGTGCTAATGTTATCTCAACCAGGTTTCTGCATTTTAAGTTCCTGGAAGATCAGAGGGGGAGTTTGTGAGGATTAAAGCCAAGAGAGAAAATTGACCTTTCTGGGCAGTTTACAGCCACTGAATGCCAAGTGAAAGCAGTTAGTTTCAAAAGGTCACAAACCTCTTACTAAGCATAATTGGCAAGAATTCCTGTTGGTATGAGGATTTGTGGGGAGAGATTTAGGATATAAAACTTAAATTATATCCAAAGTCGGAAATAATTTTAAAAGTCTGTGAGTTTACAACGGGGATATAGTTTTCTAGAATTTATTTTGTCATTAAATATAAGATTTCTCAGGCATCAGTAATTAAAAGTGGCTAGACTAAAGAACTACTAGTTCTACTTGTCTGAGGTACCCAGGGCATATTTTCCAGTGACAGACATGATTTCTCTTGCTTTTGTTAACCAGAGCATTAAGAGTATTTGTCTCCTGACCATCTACATTGGTTGATGGTATAAAAAGTGAAGGTTCACTGTCAACCTATATGTTCCTAATATTTGCTGAGTAATAACCACAGGCTACCTGAAGTGAGATGGATCATATAAACAGAATCAAGTGTTCCACTTGCCAGTGGTTAATAGTCTAATTATATCATGAAAGCATGCTCACTGTTCAAAGGCATGTTATGCTTCCAATAAAACATTCGTAACAGGTAAAGAGAAACTCAAGCTATTTCATAGGCTGTCTCTTAACATACAAAGTATACTCATATTCCAAACTTAACTCCACAATTTCCATGTAACTTCAGTAGAGCAAGAAATATTTACAAAATCATGGACATTGATGTGCCCAAATCCTTACTTATGCGTAAGACTTGCTATTACTAATGGATTAAAACTAAAAGTTTCCCCAAAGAATCACATGAGTGCCTATGAACTTAACTCCCAAGGGGAGTTACGGTCTTGACTTTATTTTCCAACTGAAACAGAGGTTGTATTGCTGTAGGACTTCACTCAAAATAGCAGCAGTGGTGCATCCTCCTCAGGTTCTGTCATTAGCCTCACACTTGGGTGCTGTAATAACCACCTATTGGAATCCTATCCTACACTTTTACCAAGATGTGAGGAAAGGTCTAAAAAGGCAAATCACACATCTTAACAAGACCTCTGCACATATTTGGGATGGGAGAGAACAAATTCAAATCTTACGGGCTAGTCCTCTGGACCCAAGGTGCCTGTGTTTGGGCTGGTTTTGCCAGAAGATCTGAACTGACCCATGAGACACTGCAACTCAGAGAAACATTTTCTGTCACTCTGGCCTTTCCATGTAAGGAAATCTTCCAAATCTTCCACTGAAGTGGCCTCCTGAGCACCGAAACTTATTTCAACTACCTTCTTTTGTAACTCTCAAGATAAATTAACACACCTTGAAGAGAGTAAAAGTATACTCTTATTTTCAAAAGTGCTTAGAGTTCATAGAGAACACTTTCATATATATGATCTTATCTTCAAAAATCCTGAAGACAGGCATTTTTCAAATGAGGGAACTGAAGCTCAGATGGGTTTAAATGACTTGTCCAAGGTAGATGCAACTAGTTTTAAAGTTAAGATACCTAACATTAAGGTCTACTGATTATTTGTTTATGTAGTACAGGGCTGCTCAATGCTCAATCTTCATTTGGTAAGCCAGTCATGGTCCTGGACATCAAACACAGTGCTTGGCTCCTAGCAAAGCTGAAAAGTCCTGGGGGCAATCAAGTGCCTTCTCTGACAACAAATGCCCAGAATGTGTGACAATCGGATTCCTCTGAAGAGTCACTGCCAATCAGGTATTGACAAGTTCAACAGTATGTTAGAATCTCAGTTTGAGATAAGAGCAAAGCAACCGTTCTAAAAATAGCCACCAAAACATGGGCAGAAGATTGCTGTGGTCTCCAGAGAAAGGCAGTGGCTCACTTCCTTCCGTATACACCATGCCCTTCCAACCACTTCTGTTTCTTGACACGACTAGTAACCAAGGAAGTTCTCTGCTGCTTCTTCTCCTCCTGGACCCAGGCTACTACTGTTTTCCTAGTGATCCTAGTAAAATCTTTCCTCCACCATCCTCAATCTTAAAGATTGACTTTTTCTGTGAAATACAGAGAGTTAGTGTGAAAACAGGCCTTGCATAGCACGTATCTGTCCCTGCTTCCAATCTACCCTTCCTGGTCTAACTCTATACCACCTGTCCCCTGTCCTACACTCCCCCACACAATCTTCCCCACATCAACCCATCTGACTCTAGACCCATTTTTTTTCAAACAGGTAGATCTCTCAAAATTATTGCATAATCTGTGATTTCACTGCTCTCCAGCAATGAAAAATCAAGATAGGCTGATGTTCCAGTATTCCATGGGACTAGGATAGTAAACTTAAGATTATGTGGTATGTAATTCCAATATGTAGGATTTGTAGGCAATAGAGCTTAAGAATCATGAAGGATGAATCCTAATAGGTCTACAGACTCCGGAATTTACAAACACCACCATAGCTTACAACTTTCCTAATAAAATGCAGTAACGTGTAATTCTAGCAGGGTTGTTATGTCTGACATGCACTGTAAGCACTAGGCCAGCCTGAGAAGCAGAGGCTGGTGTCTACTGGATGCACTGAATGGCTCAGTACTTTATTTCTGCTCCAGCCTCTCAGCCTGCAAGGTTCAAATCCACGCTTCAGTAAAACTTTACTCCATTTTGTGGTCTTTCTAGGTCACTGCTGGACACCAAACAGTGTGAATGTTAAAGCTGCAACTGCTGTGGGTCTCCAAAGCCCCGTCCCCCATTCTGCCGAAGCCTAACCCCTAACCTAACTCCATACAATTGCTGTGTTCTGGAAATGCTAACAATTATGAATTTCTCTTTATAAGGATATCAATGATGTATTCAGCTGTGAGGAAATAGAGGCCTGAACTTTCCTAAGCCAGAAAGACCTATTCATTCAACTCAAAACAGGTTTTAGAAGTATGCTGTCCTGTTTTGTGGCCACTAGCCACGTGCAGCTGCTGAGCACTTGAAAGGAAATTGGTCCAAACTGCGATGTGCTGTAAGTACAAAAAAAACTACAGATTTTGTAGTATGAGAAAAAAAGGATGTAAAAAAAATCTCAATTTTGTTTTATATTGGGCACATGTTGAAATGACAGTATTTTGGATATACTGGGTTAAATAAAGCATTATTAAATTATTGTCACCTATTCCTTTTTTATTCTTTTTAATTTGGCTCCTAGAAAATTTAAAATTACCCTCATGGCTTACATTTGTGGTCCATATTCTATTTCTACTGGACAGTGCTATCTTAGACAAAACCCATTAGCTTCTTTAAATCTTTGGGAAGCAAAACCCATTTGCTTCCAGAGAGAGGATAAACATGCTAAAAGTTTGGTTTGAGGCATCCTTTTTAAAAATGAGGCTCTTCTTGTAGACATCCCATCAGTCAGTGTCGTATAGTTGAAGGACTGGCAAACAAACAGCATGCCTCCAGCTACAGTTCTGCCTAACTTGGCCGCACAGACCTCTGTGCTTGGCATCCCATGGCTCTGATGACTTCACGGCCCTTTAGTTATTTGACTTTACTGCCCTTTGTACATTTTTAATATCTCCAAAAAATATAGGAAAAAAACCAACTTACAGGTTCTGAGATGGTGAATCCGCTGCTGGAATGCACAGGTATTTAACCCCCTGTAGAATAATAAAAATAATAAAATAAAATAAAAAGATGATACTTAGTGGAGAAAACTAGTTAAAGGAACTATTTACTCAGGTCAAAAAATAAAAAGTAAAAAGGAGAAGTTTTTCACTCATCTTTTGTTGCCAAGGAACCAGGGAAAAACTCTTTAATTAAGGTTCCTGGTTATTTCCGTGACCACACATACAAATATTCATGCTCTGGCTTGCAAACAGCTTGTAGGTTTAGATAGGGTTTATCAAAAAAGTGAAATAATTGAGTGCTTCCCAGTAAGTGTCAACAAGTTTCCAAAACTATCATTTCCGATGCTTGTTTACACATTCAACATTTTTAAAAATCTATTTCACTTAAGATCCTGAGTGGCCAAAAAGGAAGCACTGTTAGTAAAAACCTTAACATGATGACTAAAAATTACAACATTATATTACAGAGTTTTCTATATCAAATTTTAGTAATTGAAAAATTACAATTTCCCTGATGCATTAAGAGGAACTTTACACATTCAAACTATTTTTATTTATTTTGCTTGCTTTTCAAAAGAGTAAAAGTTTGTGGACCAAACTGTTACATTTTTTAAAAAGAATGGCCCAATTTGAAAAAAAAAAAAAAAGTTCATATACGTCTCCATAAAAATCTATAAAAAAATGTCTGTGTAAATTCATGCTGTAAAAACTCAGGCTAAATTTAAGTTTTATTATAAACCTGGTTGTTTTGGGATACCTGGGTGGCTCAGTCAGTTAAGTGTCTGACTTCTCAGGTCATGGTCTCAGGGTCCTCAGATTGAGCCCTGCCTTGGGCTCCCTGCTCAGCAGGGAGTCTACTTGTCTCTCTGCCCCTCCCCCTGCTTGTGCTCTATCTCTCGCAAATAAATACATTAATTAATTACTTAATTAAATCTTTAAAAAAACTGGTTGTTTTTTCTTCAGAGGGATTTAAAGTACAGTTCCAAAGGTCTTCAGTGTCATGTAAAAATAGAAAATCTAGAAATCTCAGCAACCTTTGCAAAAGAATATGGTTCTGTGAGGACTTAGATGAACCATTTTTAAACCCCTCTTCGATAGCCTAATCTCATAGGATCTTGCCACCATGTCATGGATAATAAAGTAGGGGAAGAAACACATCAAACACTGAAAAAATAACCACCTAAGAGGGTAAATGAAGGAGAAATATATAGACTACCACAAGTCCCTCAGCAAATAGTCATAAAATGTCTGCTAGAATTATTTGAATTTTTTGCAGTTGATCATTAAAATTTTATTGTTAATTCATATCATGAGGCTTTTCTATGTTGTATTTACTAATGTACTCTTGTAAGTAACATCTAAATTTGTGGCTGCCCCAAACCCTTCTAGACCTCCACATTTTGATACTTCCCGACATTGTGAATCCTACTTTTCCAATACAGAATCCACGTAACCTATATTTTTCAACCTCCTTTGCTATTAGGGTGTAGACTCAGGACCTGGTTTCATCATGTGACACACCTACTTGAGGTGGATTTGGAAACTGGACACGGGACGAGTCAGATGGGTAAAGAGCACCTGCTTGGCAGGTGCAGGTGGCAGTAGAAGCAGGTGGTTCTGGGGGCAGACGTGGCAGCAGATCTCACCAGTTGTGTGATGTGGTCTAAGTATTGTTCCTTTAACTTCAGCTGAAAGCCTGTTTCTCCAGCTCTTCTGAGGAGACCATAAGCTCTCAGCTATCTCTTAACAAGCACCTTCCTCCTTAAACCAGTTTAGAGTGCAATCAGCTGTCTGTCACTAAGACCCAAGAGATAAAATTCCCCTCCCTGCCTCCTAGTATTATGAGAGGTCAGAAAAAAAAAATTCCTGCTAAATTCATATACACATACATTTTTTTTTCCAGCTCTGAGTCAATCGTTACATCTTCCAACAAAGGCTCTTGAAGAAGAGTTTTACCACTGCTTCTCCATGTGAGAATACTTCACATGAGACCAAACAGGCTTGAACATGTTGAGGGTAAAGTTTAGGGATGGGCCAGAAGATGTTTCTCCCTCATTTAACCTTCACTTTGTCATCCCTGATTGCCTCCTGTCTCTGTCCTCATTTCTTCCTGGACAGTGGGCACTGTGCTCTGCTGGAAATATCAAGGCACTTGTCTGAAATTCTAAAGCACCTCCAAACCCAGAGAGGTATTAAAGCAGTGATTTAAAAGGAAGGAAAATGGAAAAGGAAATGACACTGTGCAAATAAGTAATTTCACTACTTCCCTCCATCAAGGCCAAGCAAGCTTATTGGCATAGATACACATACTGATCATTTCATAAATTCGTCATTGGAATGATTCATTTACTTTTTTCTTTTACTCTTAAGTGAGAGTTGGCCATGGATCAGGCCCAGAAGTTTATGAAATTCTTTCCTCCCACACACTTCCTCCAACCTCTTTCAGACCAATCCTTCCAGAAGGATGGGGAGGATTCTAAGGTTTCCACCTTCCCTTCCACTGTGACTGTCAGCCCGGGCAACTTCAATCAGTCAAGGATGCTGAGGTGGATCCCCTCTAACATAGGATAAAAATGCTTGCCCGTCACACATGCTGACTGACAGCCATTTAACCCTCACAGGATCTAAAATCAGCCCAGCCCATATGATGGGAGGAAAGAAAAAAAAAATGAAGGAAAGGAAGAAAATGGACAGAAGGGCAGGCCAAATAGCTCCTAGCTTAGTAAGAGCATTCGCCATAAATGCCAATGGCAGGGTGACTGGAAAGCACTTCATTTCTTTCAGGTGTTCCCTGAGTGGGGTCCCATTCCCCTTTTTGGTGCCTGATGGGAAGAAGAAAAGGCTGCTGGCCCCATAAGGCAGGAGCAAGATGCAGGAAGACAGCAACAGGTATCCCTCCCTCCATGCCCACAGATGATGAGGAGGCCACCACTTTCAGCCATGCTGGGCCCCTCACCCTCACTAGCTGGGATGGGCATGTGGCAGCTACAGCTTCCCATCTGTGAAGCTTCTAAGGAGGAACAAAGTAGCTCTCAGCCACAAGTTTGGGGATCCCCTACTGTTAAGGAAGGACAGAGAAAACATAAAACATAAGATCATGTTCTCTCAAAAGTAGAACAACAACCATAACCTTCCTTGGCACATAGTAACTAAATATCTGTTGAACAAGGTGAAAACCAATTTAACATGAAAATCATGACGATCACACTACAGGAATAGTACAAGGGAAAAAAAATACCATAAAGTGCCCATACCTGGGGACCATAAAAATAAGAGAGCTGAACTTTTAGCCGTGACATAGGAAGGGCACACTGCATGCACATGCTCCAGACACCAGTCTCCTGACTGCCCACACCAATGGGACTGGGTTAAGAATCAGCTCACCGTGATCTACAATAAGAAGGGAACAAACTATGCAAATACAGTAAAGAAAGGAGTCAAAACTGTCAAAAAGGTTCAGCTGCTCACCGCCCAAGACTATCTATTTATCTTGGCTTAGTCATTAACAAAGCACGAAAAGTATCTCTCTTGGAGGCCACAGACTGCAGAACATAAAGTACCTGAAAAAAGTCTTCAGATGCCTGCACATGTGTACAATTCATGGCAGTTAATTACTAATTCAGAAAGCAGCAAGAGTGAGGACAGCATTAAGGACCTCAGTGCTACAAGCTGGAGAGACTTAAAATTATCCTAGTATTAATGGATTCCCCCCCCAAAAAACCATTCTTTAATATTGAGGTTTGTAGAGACAGAGGTACAGGGCAGGATGTGTTAAGCTAAATTATGGAAAGCATGGCAAACAAAGTAAAAAAGTAACAAATATCTTCCTCTAGAACAAAATTCTAGAACAATCTGAAAAATTCATAAGTAATAGGAAATAACAGAGGGAAGGTGGGTGTGGGGATGGGTGAAATAGGTGAAGGGGATTAAAAGTGCATTTATCATGATGAGCACTGAGTAATGTACAGAATCCCTGAATCACTATATTGTACACCAAAACTAATATAACACTATATGTTAACTATATTGGAATTAAAAAAAAATAACAGCAATGTTTCTATTCCTATAGCATTTGCTATGTGATATTTACTCCTACATATTACCTCTAAAACTAAAAAAAAAAAACATAAATGAAAATTATCTTCTTTGAAATAAAATTATTACATAGGTAAAAATTTAATACTTTCCATGATGTTCCAAAACAGTGATTGGTGGAAAGCCAATTAATATTAAACTTCTGTGGGGCTAGTAAGTGTCAAGTTGCAGATTTTCAATTTAGGCAGCTGGCCCAAGAATACAAAAACCAGTTTAGTTAAGGGAAAGGGGCTCAGTCAATGCTTTAAGACTGTCTTGACTTCTAGGAGGGACAAGGAAAGAGCAGGAAATCTCTTTTGACTACATGGCATTTTGAATGGCCTAATACATCCTGAGAATGCTATTAATACTGATACAGTGGGGACCAGACAGAGGAAAAAGGCAAAGAATTAAGAAAAAGCCTCATATTTACACTGACCACATATACACTGAATATTCATAATAACAAGCAACACATCAATTAGTATTACATAGTGTGGAAAAACATTAGGAAAATGGGATCATCCCAAGAAAGTTTTTGGGGTGAAGTTTTTGTGTTAGGTTTTGAAAGAGACAACAGACATCAATTGAGAAGAAAGTTTAGAAAGTATTCCAGAGATTCTTCTTGAACAAAGTTTAAGGCTTTCTAAGTCCATATTCTCAAAAGTTCTAATATTTTTCTGTTTTCTGTTTCAACAAGCACAGTAACCACCAAAAGTAAGGTTTTTGCCTTTCTTTGGGGCTGAAACTAAAGATTACACTTAAAACGATACATAGGCAAGTACTTGAAAAGCAGGGGCAAGATTCTGATTTCAGGACTAGTAAAGAGATCAAACTCTCGCTTGTTTCAAGTACAATTTCTAAAATTCACTGTTCTTTTCTTTCTGAAACATAAGTAAGAGGCTTCTGAAGAACCTAGGTGACATTCTACTTGTCTAAAGAAAAGAAAGATCAAG